AGTTATGAGTTTTTATTCGCCTTCCAGCACGCGCGCTTGGCAATTTTACATGAGCACGTGTGCATCGTATTTTTTACGACATCCGTTATGTTACCGTTTTTGGCACGAAAACAACAGAAATGAGTGAATATTGATAATAAATTTGTTAAGAAATAAAATATTAATCTTATTATTGCAAAATACAAATGATATCACATTCAAATATAAGTAAATTATTTTTAAGTTCTTGTTAGTGCTAAAATCGAAGCTAATTTAAATATTTATCAAGTATAGGCAATAAAAAAAGGAAAACGCCTTGGTAGGAGAAAAAGTAAGTTTAGCATTACTTACTTCTGTAAGGAAATTTACTTCTTACTGGTTACAAAAACACACTTTGGAAACCGATATAAAATTTACAAAGCCAAATGTATTCAAATTAAAATAATACACAGCAATTAATAATACAATATTACAAAACATTTGAGAAAAAAAATATTTTCCAAATTTTAAAACATGATCACGTGCGTGTCTTAACTTTTATGAAAAAGCTGCCAAGTAGCACAAAAGCCCAGTTAAAAAAAAAAGTCAAATGATTTGATGTTAGCACATTCCATGATGTGTGGAAGGGTAGAAAGGAGGACTAGAAATGACCTTCAGACGTCTCAGCTTTGATATGCGAAAAATGTGCATTAAAAACTGAATTTGTCGAAAATTTTGCACATACACGCGTGCTGGAAGGTTAGATTCCCAAATTACAGGTAAAGTTGATTCTGATTTCATCGGTCTTGGGTTTTTGGAATAATAAACAAGAAGTGGGTTTAATTTGAAGTCTCCACTGGTGCTAGCACCCAGGAGAAGTGTTAAGCAAACTTTCACAGTTTTAAATTCTGGTGCACATTTTTCTTCACGGGATAGAAATATATGTTTTGGCATTCTTTTCTATAATAGGACTATTTTATCAATATCAAAAACATATTCTGGAAGATATTATTCCTTGTTCAGTTATTGCTGTTAAAGTCATTAGGAATTCAGCTGCCATTTTTATATCTCCACTAGTTGCTTCTCCTGTTATCTGTATGTTGTGAAGATTATTTTGATGTTTAAATCTATTAAACCATCCTCGACTTGCAATGAAAACTTCAGTCGTGTCACCTGTTTCAATCTGAATGTGATTAAAATTTCTCACTTTTTCCATAATAAAGGCTTGGCTTAATGACACATAGCATTCAATTTCATTGTCAATTCATATACAAGTCATTTTTCCATCTCCTCCATCGTACAGTCAAAAGTCGTTAATTCGGACACCCATAATCCGGAATGATCTATAATCCGGACCTCAAAGCTAAAAACTTTCTGCGCATGCGCCGCGTTGGCACATGCGCACAAGCGTTTTACGTGTGCGCGTAAGACCTTGACTACTGCGCATATGCGTGTGCGCAAGTGCAGAATACGTTTTCGCCTGCGTATAACGGACGGTGTAAGCTAAAATTATCTAATTATCTATTTCAGTTAATGTTAATGATTGCGTTGTTCCTTAATCTTCGAATTAGATCCCGCTTATTATTTTTTGCAGACTGTAAGAGCAATTTTATAAAAGTAAACTTGAAATTTCGATTATGTCAAATAGAATTTCCGATGCTGGAACTTCCAAAGGATCTATAAAACGAAAGTATGTTTCGATGTCCAACAAATAAAAAAGTGGAATTGCTCCAAAAAAATGGATAAAGACATGAAGAATGTGACAGAGAGGTTAGTGAAAACGAAAAAATTTCGATTGACAAGTTAGTCGGTATTCTCGGCACAGCAATTAACGGGAGTTGAACAGCGGAACTTTGTAACTGAACAAGAAATTATGTCTGTTTATAGAATTAAGGAGAAAGTATTATCACATAAAAAAACGAAGCAACTTAAACAACTTACATTGAAAGAAATGTTTAATAAAGTAAACAAATAAATATTATTAAGCTTTTTTTTTTTTGTAAATTTTGATACCCTTTAGATCATAATTGTTCTTTATTTCATAAATTACGGTTTCATATTTTTAATTTTAGAATTTCTGCATGCCATCTTACGAGATTTAAACTGATGATCTATAATCCGGAAAAATCGATAATCCGGAATCGCCAAAGTCCCGACAAGTCCGGATTAACGACTTTTGACTGTATTATTTCGAGAAATTGTTATTCTAGTTATAGAAGTTTTTGTAGTTGTAGTTGCTGATGACACTACTTTTTCTTTATTCTTGAGAATTGTTCTTATTGTTGAAGTTGATAAGTTCAATTAAACACCAATTTGACATGATGTTCACCACTATCCAATCTTCTACGCACTTGTATTTTAGTTTCTAGTGAAATGTTTCTTGTTGATTTAGTTTCATGTTTCTTATCACCCATATTAAAAAAAACTAAAAATTATAATATTTATTACTATATCAATCATTAGATTAAGTAAATTTATATACTTACAATAATAGCAACAAATGTTTGAAATTATAAAAATACGTTTGTGTAACACTACAGAGAAGAAGTAATGGAGATAATGTACTTTCGATTTTGGGGAAGCGCAGTACTACATGCAATTTTTAGGGAATTTAACTATTCCAATACAAATGTGTTAAACCGAAACAGTGTTAAACAGACTAATGTTAAGCTTCATTTCTCCTGATTTATCTTGCTTGATCTAGCAACACGTTTTTGCCACTTTGCTTCACCCATTGTTTAAAGATATGTAAGGTATACAAAACTGTGGTATGCAACATGCATTCAAAAATGATATAGACCACAAGAATGAAGAGTCAGGAAATGAATTATGCCAAACATCTGCAAGTTTCTTCTACTATGCATTCCATGTATGCCAGTCATATCTATAACCATCTCAGCCATGAATTAAAAATTAATTGTTGTTAATTTTTAATTCATGGCTTGTAATAAGACTAATGTTAAGTGGGATGTGGGAGAGAAAACAACAATTAATTTTTAATTCATGGCTGAGATGGTTATAGATATGGCTGGCATACATGGAATGCATAGTAGAAGAAACTTGCAGATGTTTGGCATAATTCATTTCCTGACTCTTCATTCTTGTGGTCTATATCATTTTTGAATGCATGTTGCATACCACAGTTTTGTATACCTTACATATCTTTAAACAATGGGTGAAGCAAAGTGGCAAAAATGTGTTGCTAGATCAAGCAAGATAAATCAGGAGAAATGAAGCTGTGCATTAGTAACAATGATATTTATAAACTTGATTTCTTTGTTTAAATTCTCGATCTGTGATTAGATATGAGCTGTCATAATGCAGGAGAATTACATGATCAAGAATGAAATGAAAAGACAGTGTGGAAAAATTATTATAAATAATTTATACACACACATGTATGCACACACATGCACTACATTAACATTTAACACAAATGAAACAGGAAATGGTACTTTGGTATTTGCAAAGAACCCAAAATTTTAAATGTTCAAAATTTTATATTCAAGATGTAATTTACATTAAAAAAGAAGGAGATTGATTTATAATATGAAAAGTAAACCCAGAAGTAGCTCCCTAAAAAAGGGGAAAGATTAAAATTAAAAATAATAAAATGTAAAGGAATATAAAAAATAGAAAACTTACACAAAGCGCATGCAAAGAATAAATACAGAATAAATTTTAGTAAATAGACTGCCTGCATGGGGTTTTAAGATTTCACTGCATAGGGTTTTAAGAAATATGAGCTAATTTTGCTTAAAATGTCTTTCGAGAATGCATCCCTCCTTCTAAACAGCATAGATATATATTTTGCACTCATCAATCACCAATCCAACTGATATGCATTCAACAACAATTTCTAAATCATATTGAAAGTGAGCAACTTCATACTAATAAATTTATCAATTATTTTTATTTTTATCTTTTACATAATATTCAAATTCTGAAATAAGCATCTGTACTAAAAATTACAAAAATTATTAATAACAATCTTTATTTCTCTGCAATAGTTAAAATAATTAGAAAATTCTTCTATCCAACTTTTTAAACTCATTCAAAGAATGAAAACATCCTTAAGATATATGGACAGAAGAAATTCGTGTATCTTGTAAAACATTTACCTAGCTGTTAAAAACTAAATCAAATGATATAAAAGAAGTTGATTTTAGAATATTCAAGGAAGTTCTGAATTCTTTTTGTTTACTCTCTGTTCCTCTCCCATTTTAGGATGCTTTTTAATTTAACATGTTATCAAAAACAGCCATATTTCTGAAATCCATTTTAAAACTCTGAATGATATGGCTTTTTTTATATCTTATTAAAACCTATAATTAAATGCCATTTGTTTACTATATTTGAATAATTATTTATTTATCTCTGTACTTTCATAAAACTCTATTCATTAAGATGAAAATTAAATCATTAAGAAATATACGAAGAAATATTTTAAATACCAAGGTAATATGTAAAAAGGGACATAACTGGTTAAAGGCAATGATGCCTCTCAGTAAATTGATATATAAAATTTCAGAGATCTCTCCCCCCATGCACATATAACACTACAAAGAAAACTAATTTAATTAAACACTAAATTTTCATACAAAAGTGCTTAAATTGAAGTATTATCATTAATATACAGCCATAAATCAGAGCTTGACTAATACTTAAGATTACAATGCCTGGGAGTAAGATTTCAGAATCATTCTCTACACTTTCCCATAAATCAGCATCTTCCCTTAATAAAAGCAAGGAAAGTGGGCACTGAAAACCCCTGAATGATGGCTGTGCCTAGGACTCCAGATTAACTTAATTAGGCCTTAGTTACGATGATAAGATATTTGTTCTTATATTTTCAATATCAAGCATATTTTAATAATTCAATTAATTACTACAAGCATTAATTTAACCACCTAAATATAACGAGAGGGGATCATACTTTTATTAACACATACATAAAGAAAAGACAATGAGATAGACAAAATTATACACATTATTTCACATATGAAGGTATGAGAAACTTTAAAATGGCAGAAAAAACATACTTTGCAGTATTTTGCTGCCTGCTCACATGCAGCTTTCAATTCAGATCCAGCAGGATGCCAGTCTGGTGGGCCATTATTTGTCAACAAACCCATTCCCAAAACTGCAGCATTGACAATAGCAATACCTTTTTCCTAAAGTAAAATGAATATTGAACAATAATTGTTGTGAATGCTTACACTTTTCCCGATAACTTAACTATTAATTTTTTTTTTTTCTTTCTTTTTCTTTTTTTTTTTTTTTTTTTTCTATTAACATGTTATTTCTTGTATTGAATTGTTCCTGCCCTTCTAAAGCTTCATCCATCCCACCAGAATATATGAACGACATGAGTTCAGACTGCCATGGTGGAATTCTTCTGCCACTGTCTCCCTTGAGTGCTGTAGCTATAAGCTGAATGTTTTTGACAGAAATTACATTAATAGCCATAGGGTAGCAAAGTCGGATTCAGAGATTTTAAATTATAAAAAAGCTGAATCATTGTCATCAATCAAGCCCATAAATAGTGGAAATTAATTTTATGAATTGTTTTATTTTCTATAAGTTCAAGTTATAAAAACAAATAGATCTTTTAATTATCTTTAGATTGTTGTAATTACTTAGTACTCTGGATATGAAATGTTACGACAAGATGATAATTCATCTGGCAGTCACAGAAGATTAAATTAATATTTAGACTAAACCAACCTAAGTTTAATGTCGTAATTACAAAAACAATTATGAAAAAAATACAAATTGTTTGTTTAGGAGTGACACTGAAAAAAGGGAAATAAAATCAGTTAATTATTTCATATTAATATTTTTTTTATGTACAAATCACTTAATATTCTTTTTAAATCAGATCACATAACACTTCCAGCCTCAGCTACATTGTATGTAAGAATATGCATGAGCTTAGTTTGATACATATACATTTTCATGATTTTAAAAGAGAAAAACATTCTACTCACAATGCTGATCAAATTAAACTTCATTTTGAAGACGAAAATTAAAATATAGGATATAAAGTTTTCAGAATATGCAATGCTTGTATAAAGGTACACTTATGTGGTGTTCTTAGAATTTTTTTTTTTTTTTTTAATTTTAAAATAGTAACTGTATTTCTTACTAATGCATCAAATAAACTACTGCAGAAAAGAATGTCAGATATTGGTAGAGTATCTTCATGTAATAGTATTCTTAACATTGTCCAAAAGAATAAAGCTAATGTTTACAATAAAATATAGCATTTCCTTTTTGTGTCTTTTACTTTCACCTATTCTTCATTTTAATTTTTAAATGCTGTTTCTCAGCTTACTTGATGACATCTTTCAAGCAAATAAACTTAAATTTTCATCAGCAGGCTTAATTGTGCTTTCTTTTACCAAATATATAATTTTCTGCCTATTACTCCATCTGATAAACATAAAATATATTTATTCATTTAAAAAATATTTCCCTTCTTCCCTCCTGTTGTATTTTAACAACTTTTCAACCATGTGAATTCCCTGCACTTTCATACAGCTTTTATATATACTTCAAATAGTGAAATAAAATATTATATAGCTTTACAAGTCAGCTCTTAAGATATATTTTTTGTATTCTAAAACTAGACTTTGATTTCTTTTATTTTTATTGATTGATTTCAGTTAATGTTATGGTTCCAATAAAATGTATAATATATATATCTTGTTTCTAATACTATTTTCCATATTACTGGTTTTCCAAGAATGTGATGCAAATTATAAGCTTTGAAATGCATACTTTAGTTTCATTGGGTGAAACTCATTATGAATAGTATTGAAAGGAATATACAAATATGTATCATACGATGTGACCAATTAGAATTTCACTTTCCATAAATATGCAAATTAGGTAATGGTTGAAGGTGATGTCAAAAACCTTTGAGATGATTTTAATTGCTGATAAAATGTTTCTGAAATACATTCTGGATATTTTTTATTAGATAAGATTAGTATGATTAAAAAAGAATAACAAATGATTCTCAATGCGAATGTCCTGTCAGCAAGGTTGAAGCAGGATAGTTTATTAAAGATATTATTTACTTTGGTGTTGACTATTCTGTAATTATTCTTACTTACTTTTGTAATCACTTTTAGATTTTTTTTCAATCAATTTCAGATGAATATTGCCCACAGATCTGTTACTGGTCATCCAAGATTTACTGCAACCTCTGTTAATACCTATATGGCTTCATTAGCTCAGCGTTATCAACTAGCAAACCACATCAGCTCTTAGAACAGTCATTACTATAACAAATGGATGGTGAATCACAATGATTATGGTGTGGAAAAGGGCACACAGACAACACAAATTTTGTCCCTTTGAATGCTACACAGTAAGGCTGAAATAGATGCATCAACATGCAGGCTGGAAAGCAGCTGAATGGTCACGTACTATTTACAGATGAGTCAAGATTTACACTGGAATCCACCAATAAGTGTGTAAAGATCTGGAGAGAAGGAAGAGAGAATTTCAATAACACCATGCCTTCAGTACTGGCAGTGTAACAGTGGGGGACTGGATTTTCTTCGAGCTGTTGCATTGATCTGCACATCTTTACAATTGGTATTTGGGTGATGTCTTTGATCTCTTAGTGAGACTATATGCTAATCAATCTGCCAGAGACATGATATACCTGTCGTGTGTGCTCGCGAGTTGATAATTGAAGCCCAAAGAAACAGAAGATGTGAAGTTAGAAAGAAAATTGTATTTAATTTAGGATTTATTATAGAAAGTTTAACACTGGGCTCTGCTACTGGATGAGAATGCAAATAATTAGTAATTATAAGACACATATTTGTATATATATATATATACACCACAACACAATATGTGGTATACTAATAAAATATTGATTTTATATATATAGACTATATATATATGCAATATTTGTATATTTATTTTTTACTCGTGAATTCGATTTGTAAGTGCTTAAGATGCACGTTTAATGAATATTTAAGCTTACGGATATAAATGTTGGGTAAGAGTTTTACTTATTTTTTTCCTTTTTCTTTTCTAAGAACTTTTAGCACCAGTGAGTTTTTTCTGTATATTACAAAAAATGTTAAGTGTCTTTACCTTTTTGCTTTTTCATTTAGATACGAAAGAAATCTGAAGATACTGAAGCGATTACCTAAGCAAGTACGTCTTCTTTCACGACTTCATTTTGAAGACGAAAATTAAAATATAGGATATAAAGTTTTCAGAATATGCAATGCTTGTATAAAGGTACACTTATGTGGTGTTCTTAGAATTTTTTTTTTTTTTTAATTTTAAAAATAGTAACTGTATTTCTTACTAATGCATCAAATAAACTACTGCAGAAAAGAATGTCAGATATTGGTAGAGTATCTTCATGTAATAGTATTTTAACATTGTCCAAAAGAATAAAGCTAATGTTTACAATAAAATATAGCATTTCCTTTTGTGTCTTTTACTTTCACCTATTCTTCATTTTAATTTTTAAATGCTGTTTCTCAGCTTACTTGATGACATCTTTCAAGCAAATAAAAACTTAAATTTTCATCAGCAGGCTTAATTGTGCTTTCTTTTACCAATATATAATTTTCTGCCTATTACTCCATCTGATAAACATAAAATATATTTATTCATTTAAAAAATATTTCCCTTCTTCCCTCCTGTTGTATTTTAACAACTTTTCAACCATGTGAATTCCCTGCACTTTCATACAGCTTTTATATATACTTCAAATAGTGAAATAAAATATTATATAGCTTTACAAGTCAGCTCTTAAGATATATTTTTTGTATTCTAAAACTAGACTTTGATTTCTTTTATTTTTATTGATTGATTTCAGTTAATGTTATGGTTCCAATAAATGTATAATATATATATCTTGTTTCTAATACTATTTTCCATATTACTGGGTTTTCCAAGAATGTTGATGCAAATTATAAGCTTTGAAATGCATACTTTAGTTTCATTGGGTGAAACTCATTATGAATAGTATTGAAAGGAATATACAAATATGTATCATACGATGTGACCAATTAGAATTTCACTTTCCATAAATATGCAAATTAGGTAATGGTTGAAGGTGATGTCAAAAACCCTTTGAGATGATTTTAATTGCTGATAAAATGTTTCTGAAATACAATTCTGGATATTTTTTATTAGATAAGATTAGTTATGATTAAAAAAAGATAACTAAATGATTCTCAATGCGAATGTCCTGTCAGCAAGGTTGAAGCAGGATAGTTTATTAAAGATATTATTTACTTTGGTGTTGACTATTCTGTAATTATTCTTACTTACTTTTGTAATCACTTTTAGATTTTTTTTCAATCAATTTCAGATGAATATTGCCCACAGATCTGTTACTGGTCATCCAAGATTTACTGCAACCTCTGTTAATACCTATATGGCTTCATTAGCTCAGCGTTATCAACTAAGCAAACCACATCAGCTCTTAGAACAGTCATTACTATAACAAATGGATGGTGAATCACAATGATTATGGTGTGGAAAAGGGCACACAGACAAACACAAATTTTTTGTCCCTTTGAATGCTACACAGTAAGGCTGAAATAGATGCATCAACATGCAGGCTGGAAAGCAGCTGAATGGTCAACGTACTATTTACAGATGAGTCAAGATTTACACTGGAATCCACCAATAAGTGTGTAAAGATCTGGAGAGAAGGAAGAGAGAATTTCAATAACACCATGCCTTCAGTACTGGCAGTGTAACAGTGGGGACTGGATTTTCTTCGAGCTGTTGCATTGATCTGCACATCTTTACAATTGGTATTTGGGTGATGTCTTTGATCTCTTAGTGAGACTATATGCTAATCAATCTTGCCAGAGACATGATATACCTGTCGTGTGTGCTCGCGAGTTGATAATTTGAAGCCCAAAGAAACAGAAGATGTGAAGTTAGAAAGAAAATTGTATTTAATTTAGGATTTATTATATAGAAAGTTTAACACTGGGCTCTGCTACTGGATGAGAATGCAAATAATTAGATAATTATAAGACACATATTTGTATATATATATATATATATACACACACACAAATATGTGGTATACTAATAAAAATATTGATTTTATATATATAGACTATATATATATGCAATATTTGTATATTTATTTTTACTCGTGAATTCGATTTGTAAGTGCTTAAGATGCACGTTAATGAATATTTAAGCTTACGGATATAAATGTTGGGTAAGAGTTTACTTATTTTTTTCCTTTTCTCTTTCTAAGAACTTTTAGCACCAGTGAGTTTTTCTGTATATTACAAAAAATGTTAAGTGTCTTTACCTTTTTGCTTTTTCATTTAGATACGAAAAGAAATCTGAAGATACTGAAGCGATTACCTAAGCAAGTACGTCTTCTTTCACGACTTCATTTTGAAGACGAAAATTAAAATATAGGATATAAAGTTTTCAGAATATGCAATGCTTGTATAAAGGTACACTTATGTGGTGTTCTTAGAATTTTTTTTTTTTTTAATTTTAAAATAGTAACTGTATTTCTTACTAATGCATCAAATAAACTACTGCAGAAAAGAATGTCAG